TGGAAAACTTGGGATAAACTAACAAATTCTCGCTCATTGCCTAATCCCTTACAGATTAGCCGGGATTACAAGTATGTGTATTGAAGAAACTGAAAAGTTGAATCTACTGCTACAACAAAAATAAAACGGAGCAAGTATGTATGATATTTGCCAGAACACCGCGCGAAAATAGCAAAATGCGCTTTTGAATATAAAAACCGCCCTTTTACTATTTTCTAAAAGCTGTGGAGAAATGTTAATGAATTCAAAGTACAATCAGAAGTATTCGGAAACTATGCCTACGCTCTATAATTTTGAAAAAAAACTTGTTTTTCATTATAGAAATCAATGGAAAATATTTTTAAAACATCCCCCTTTCCTTTTTACAGCAATTTTGAATTATTATTAACAAATCCATACCTAAGCTCTTGTTGTTCCCGAGGGTGGTGGCTGGGGGTATGTTTACAAATAAATTACATGAGTAAAACATATGGAAAAAATGAAGCATCATTTATCCATGCCTATGAGTATTTTAAAATCTGAGTTTTATTTTAAAATCTCTTGATGTTTTAAAGCCTGATTTCAATGGATATACATCTTCTAGACCCTTTTTAAAAAGAGTTGTGATTAAGAGCAATGAACAATTTGACACTGGTATTAATAATGTGATATTGTAATTTTTGAATTTACCAGGTGGTAGTAAATACAACAAGAGGCTGGGCCACATCGCTCACCTGAGCTCATTGGCTAGGAAGAAGCACTAATCAGTTCAGTATTGAAGGGGGAGGGGGGGGGCAAACTTTAATTTAAACTACCTCAGGATGCTTCCATATCAATATCACCAATCATGGTTTTGCTGTTCTTAAACAGAAGAATTTTAAAGATTTTTTTCCCTATGTTTTCCATCGTTATGGTAGCTCATTCTGTAGAGCTCTCGCTCCGTGATCGGAAGGTAAGGGGTTCGAGCCCCGGCCGCGACTGACCTAATTCGATAAAAAATAGGTAGCAACTGTTCCTTCGTCAAGCGCTCGGCATTTGTGAAATGTGAAAGTTGCGGGTCCTTCAGATGAGACCTTAATGACCGAGGCCCCGTGTCACGGCAGGCGTAGGCACAATAAAGATCCCTCACTGCTCAATGGCCCTGAGTGCCGAGTAAAGGTCTAAATTTGAAGCCCTTCACTGGTATATGGTGAAGTCTCTATATGAGTGAAAAATTCTTGTACGGAACGTACAACAACATACAATCAATCAATCCTATGTTTTCCTATGTAAAACTTTGATCTCTCATTGTGGCGCCCCACACTACCCACCCTAAATTTGAACAAATTTGAATCTACACGACCAAAGGATGCTTCTATGATAATATGACTAATCATGGCTTTGCCGTTCTTGAGCAGATTTTTTCAAGATGATTCCTAGATTTTTTCTTATGCAAAACTTAATTGACCCTCTGTTGTGCCCCCATGATTTGAACAAACTTGATTCTACAATACTTAAGGTTGCTTCTATATAAATATGATTTATAATGGCTTAGTGGTTCTTGAGAAGAATATTTAAAATGTAATTAACTAAGCAGTAATTAATTAACAAAGATTGCATTGCAGTCTAAGGGGACAAGTAATTTTTCTTTTAAAAATAAATATTCAAATAAAAAGAATATTAATAATTACTGTCGTGGAAAATGCATAAAACATTAGAAATAGAATGACAATTGAAAACAATTTTTTTTCACAAGATAAATTTTTTATAATTGAATTTTCAAATAAAAACAGATGGAAATTACCCTTACCAAAATTCAAGGTCATAAATTAGGACACATCCCACCCTTACATGCTTATAGTAATAAATGTTAATTATGTCTAAACATGCTAAATATACTGAGTATTAAACACCTACATATCTGTCGTGTATTCAATTTCATTGAATCTGTTGCTATTAGGGATGGAATACCTTAACTTCTTTATTGCTGATTCAGCATCCAACTTATTCTGCTAACTTGCGAATGCCTGACTTTCCCAAAGCTTTGGCTTATATACTCTTTGGTTTGGCTAGTCTATTCCAAGGGTTGCCCGGTCATTCCATTATTTCAGGTCTTTAATGCATTTTACTCGAATGCCCCTTAACCATTACACCTATATATTCCTATGCAAAACTCTGACCCACTGTTGTGACCCTGTTCGATCCATGGGGGTCTTGATTTGAATAAACTTGAATCTACTGTACGTGAGGATACTTCTACATACTAGACGGGTACGTTTTGTACTTGTGCATGAAAAGTACACGTAATTCCAACATTGGTAAATTGAACTTGCAAAGATACCTTAATACGAAAACGGACATATATTTTTTTCATTGCATAGGTACCTGTATTTGAACTTTGTAATTGTCATAATTATTTAATTTTAACATTTTAATAATTATAGTTTCAAAGTGAAGCCAAGGTCATCACGTGTCCGTAATCATCCACCTGTTTCGAAGATATTGCGGGTGCTAAGAGCAATTGCGGTGGGTTTTTTTTAAATTGACACTTGCTGGCTGGATGTATACTGTCTCCATGGTCACGGTATACCTGAGTATATACTCCCCCTACATTCGCGATATACTTAGCTTGTAAGTTAAGGAAAATAAAGTGATAATTCTACGTCGAATGTATGGTGAAATTCTTGAAATTTTATCAACGTCCTCCATATTGTCACTTACATGTACATGTTTCGATCGCCATAAAAACAGTAATGATCTCTACTGTATTTGGAATATACAAGGGGCGGGGCTTACTGGCGGCAAGATTAAAGCGGGGTCCGCTTCACGCATGAGTGCTTAAAGCGAACCCGGAAAGCGAACGCCGGGTTCGCTCTAGCGGACCCAGAGCTGACCCCAAGCGAACGCAGAGTGAACCCGAAGCGCATACAGAGCGGTCCCAAATTTTCTGAAAGCGAACCCACAGCGGACCCAGGAAGCGAACCCGGGGTGCGCTTTGGGTTCGCCGCCCTGGTGTTAGGTTGTGTCCTGTCGGTACTGTATCTCTCAGTTAATTCGATACGCAAGAGCATGCTCTACGTATGTACAATTTCTAAAACGAGTTAATATTATTGACAAACAAGTTTATGAAACAAGAATATCAGCAGTCTCGTTTAAAGTCGTCATTTCGTACATGTAAGTTCTATGGTCGATACAATGACCATGTCAGCAAATACAATTTATCATTGAGTCAAATGCTGACTGACGTTTTTCATACTAATTGTTAGACCATATATTTCATTATGCGAGGGCGCATGAGGAATAGAGGCATGGGTAATTGTTTCAAGAATCATATTGATATTATTTTTTTTAATCTGAGCAGACGAATTGACTTTTTTCATACAACATTGTAATTTTTAGGCCATGATTTACACATTGAATTGTCGACGGATTTTTCCGTTATTTTCCGATCATGACAAAGAGCACACGGCGGGTGTGACCGGTCGGCAGGGGATGCTCACTCCTCCATGGCACCTGATCCCATCTCTGATGTTTTGGAGGTCCATGTTTGCTCTGCACCTATTTTGTAATGTTTAATGGACTTTTGAGCTTGAATACTGTTCGTTATCTCCATATATTTCATCTTTAGAAATGTCAATTAAATATATGCCGGATAGATTTAGATATATTTTAATAAAGGTTTTTCGATTCATTTCATTTATGATTCATGTTTTTATTTTCTCATCACCATTTTTTTTATTTTGAGGAGTTATACATCATAATTAGGCATACAGGAAAAAAGCTAAATAGGGTGAAGATAACGAAAAAGTGATGGATCTAAAAAGATATATCTATGAACAATACAAATTGCGACGGGGGCATAAAACAGGAACCCCTGAAAATTCCAGAGGTGGGATCAAGTGCCTAAGAGGAGTAAGCATCCCTTATTGACCGCTCACATCCGCTGTGAGCCTTACGCATAGATCAGGTAGGCGAAACACTCCGTAGTTAAATTCAGTATAAAAACAAAGGCCTAACAACAGGTATGAAACCTTTCATTCAACAAAGGACCAATGACAGGTTTTACTTGCTAACAAGGACATTATAACGAACATAGAATTGAGGAAATGCTGACTTTCAACGAGGTTGTTGAAATACCTGTAATACCGTCTTATTTGTCAGTAGCCTACTCCGGTATAGAAATTGATCGTACTTGGAGCATGTTCAATTAGATATATATCGAGTCGACATATAAATGGAACTAATTAATGTTAACTAATAATACGTCGTTGATATACATAGGGAAGCTAAATATCGGATGGATGATTGATATTCATTTATCTCGGTAAACTTGGTATAAACCATTAATTATTTGATGCACCACTTGAAGCTTGATTTTTTCCCCCCATCAACGTTCACTTTACAAAAAAGACATGAAAGGTTTACCTTTAAACCCAGTGCTAATTTTAGCAGCTTCATCGTAAACATATTCAAGCAATTTTTTGCTGCTTTGAGCAATATCCTACACAATGTCTGCATATTTAAAAATGGATCTAATAAATAAAAAAAAAATTGAAAAATACATAAAAAAAAAACAAAAAAAAAAAAAAAAATGTGTTTTGATTGCTTTATATAATTATCACCATATCCAAATTACTTGTGGGAATAAATTATTTTCTTTCCTTTTAAAATCACCATAAATGGTTCTTGGTTCTTTTTTTACCAGAAAAAATCAACAGTACAATGGACAAATTCCTTATTTATTTTGAGATAATGTTGGATTGGTAATTTGATTGTCTACAATAGGAAACAAAGAAGTGTTTGTTTTCAACATATTTTATTGACAATATATCAAAAGAAAAAGACACAGATACCAAAAAGCAAAGAAGTATCATAAGCAAACAATCAAATATTATTTGATATATTTTAGGTTTATCATTTATATGTATAACAAAATCAAGAATTCCAGTGTTGTAAATAAGTATGTATATATGGACATGTGTCTGTTTAACTAATTACAGAGTCCTGTCAGATTGTGGTGGTCTTTACATACACGTATCTCATTATAACCTATTACAATCACCTGGTACAAAGTCTTGTCTTTTTAGATACACGTATTTGTATGCACACACTTTGTTGTCGTCATAGGATCCAACGAAGAGAAGGTGATTTTTGTTATCATAACTCAGGGTTCGTGGTCTGTGTATCTCTTGCTGTTCTATCTGTATCAATGACAGGAAGCAGCCGTCCTTATCAATCATCTGTACTGTGTCCGTGCTTTCATCACACACCAGGATGTGTAATAACGCGTCTGTACAGACTCCTCGTGGTTTCAGTATTGATCCTGTTGGAGGTCCTGTGTAGGAGAAGCGATATCTTCCTCCACAGTTTGTTACCACTAAACCGCGGTTAAAATCAGAAACAACAACATCCCAATTGCGGTTCTCTGTGATGTAGATAGGTCGACCATACAGTTCCTGACCTTTATTACCGTGTTGAATTGTCTCTATGTATTGTCCAGCGTTATTGTAACGGTTCAGCTTACCTGTATCTGTATCAGTATTCAACATTCCGACAAGCAGATCTCCAGTGAGAGGGGAGCTGAAGACACTGCATGGCTTCCATGATTCTGTTTTCTTAATAAGTGTAAATCGTTCTTTGGTATCTTTAGATAGTTTGTTAATGTCACCATCCGTGTCTATATAGATTAAGTCAGATATAATGTCCACCGTGTGTATTCCATAACTCCAACGGTGACAATCAGGAGTTTTATTTGTCAGAAAATTTAGTGTCTTCCCTTTTAGGTTTGTCAGGATGAGACGAAACATACCACATATCCAGATCCGATCTGATGTCACACAGGAAATGTGTCTTATCGCACTAACACCTCTCACTAAAAAAGTAATGTGCAGCACGGATGTGGACAGACCTTCATTTTGTACTTGTCTTTTTCCCGTTTCTATGATTTGAATTTCACTCAGAAGCTTAACCATATACTCCATGTTGATGTCCTTACTGTGGGCATGTTGAATACAATAAGATGTAATGTCAACCTTGGGAACGCTGGTTTTCTTTAGGAAAAAGAGAAATTTTACCTGTCTGTTTAAAGACTGTTGAGATATGTGTTCATACTTCTCTATGCTGGTAAGTTGTTTGATCATTTGTTTCTTTTGTTGTTTGTTTTTAACATCACATATCACTGTGTCAATGAGGTCCTTTAGCCTCTGGGCTTTTGATGACATCTCTGATTGACGGTAGAAGATTTCTTTGTGAAAAGTTTTCATATCAGATTTGATATCTGCCAGGAGAAAAAAACTGTTATAGAGAGTCTCACTTCTGATGTTATGGTTGGTTTTTCTATTTAGTTTTCGGCTTATCACATATGCTATATCAATATTCCATAAGTTGTGTTCGCTGTTTTCTTCACATAGGTTTCTTTCTGTACTACTTTGGACACCAACAGAAACACTATTCCTTGTGCATTGCACACAGATAGGAAGACTACAGGAGTAACACCATTTTTCAATGAATTCTGTTGGATGTCTCACACAGGGTGTTAGTCTTAGTCTATCTTCATATTTTTCACGGTTAATTACAACATCATGATGTTTGGTGTGTAAATCAATAACATGTCTCTCCTTACAATGTAGACACAGGTCATGCTTACACGTGTTACAGTAGTATTCTGTGCCCCCTTTGCATTTTACTTTATACTCCATGCTGACGTCCGACAGGTTCATAAAGTGGAGGGTTTTTAACCTTCATAAATACAATTTCCTGAAATTCAATAATACCGTATAAGTAATGTTTGGGTGTAGGCATCTTGAAAATGGACTTTCCCTGTCTTTTATCTTTAAATTAACAGAATCATGTCTGAAAATAATGTATGAAATAGGATGATAAAGAAATTATTAATCTCAAAAGTACATGTACGTGGGAACAATACGGACCACAACAAAAACATATATGTAACACATATGAACATGTATAACATGCATTTTTTTATCCTTTGTATATTAAAATGAGGAATAAACCAGAGTATTCCGGGAAACATATCACTTGCAACAATAAATAACCTTACAAAATTGTCATTTAAATACATTTTAATGATATTCCATTCCAGTCAAGAACTTGGCCAATTGACCTTGAATGTTGATAACCTTTCGACGTCCGAGCGTATATACATGTATTTAGAACCGCTGTAATGTAAAAAATGATGACAAATCTGGGTTCATATAACGGATGCTGATTTCCTGTAGGATCGCACAGGCGTTATTAAACGTTTTGAAAAATAGTTTTAAAAGTCACAGCTTTAAAACAATTACATGTATTTTTATTTTCATATTTTTACGCATTGATATGACACAGTTGTTCTATATTCAATAGATTTTTTTTCCTAAATAAAAACGAGTAAGTACGCTACTTATTAGATATATTTTGTCTTTGAAACAGCTGTGGTATATGCATTTCAACGCAGTTATCCCGTATCATTTATTATTTATTAGACTGGTGAGAAATTTGCATTTCTGAGAGGTTGAAAAGTTTTTTGATGCATTGTACCTGCATGAATGAATTTACCCAAATAAGCTAGAATTACATTTCTTGATATGTATAATTGCCAACGTTACATATTTCTCCTTTTAGAGTACTTTTTGAGAAATAAAATTGAAATATGTTTAGGTTATGTTCCTGAATTTCAAAATTTGTTCGAAATTGATACATTCGTATCCTTTCGTATTAACACCCCACCAGTCATAGCAGCCAAGTGGTAGGGTGTTAATACGTGATCGGGAGGTCAGGGTTCGATTATCGCTCGCCGTTTCTAACGTAAGACGTAATAAAAGTACTGAAAGTGCTGAATGTAGTTAATTTAAATTACGGTTTCAATAAAATTCGAATTTTTGTAACCTTGTTCACAACTTTTCAAATTATGTATGACATAAATTCTTCAGAATTTGGTATTCGAAAAACAAATGACTATGAGGATGTCAGAGAAGTATGGTTTGTTCTAATTTGTCCATTACCTTTAATTAATATATATATATATATATATATATATATATATATATATATATATATATATATATATATATATATATATATATATATATATATATAAATATAAATATATATATATATATATATATATATATATATATATATATATATATATATATATATATATATATATATAAGCACTAAAAATGACCAACGACACGATTAATAATAATTGTCAAATTTTCGGGACAACCTGTCCCTTCCTCAGGACAAAGAAAAAAGTTAAGAAGTCATAAAAACAAAGGAAATAGAGAAGCAAAAACAACTAGCACTACTACTAAACTACCAAACACTAAATATTTACAATGTTACATGTTTAATTTGGAGTTTATAAACAGTTGTGAACAAAGAAATCCGGAGCGCTATGAATTGCGTCCGGTCTATCGGGTGTAGTCTGGTGAAGCGTGATTTACATAATTGAACGAATTAATTATCGCTAATTAATTACGGCCAACAGTAAATCGTACATTGTCTTATTCTCTCAAAATAGCGTAACTCTACATGATAAAAAGAAATTAAAGAAAGATGATATTGAAGGACAATTTTGAAATATGAATTTGGATATATTATAAATTTGGAAATCGGATAAAAGAAATAAACAAAAATGTGAGCTGTAAATATTTGGGTAAGTTGTTCCAGGATTACTAATACGAATTAACGGTAAAGTTTACACTATATAGAGAGAATGAACTTGTTTGTTACAATCCGGGATTGGGTCTAGTTCACGTTCATCCTGGTGAAGTCATTAAGTTTGTTAATACCATTAGGGCGGAATGACTTCAGCCTGTGCATCCAGAACTTTTCCTTGCCTTTTCTCTGCGCGTCTGTCCATCTTGGATCATGGTCAATAACCACTACTGTCATGTCCTCCCATTTGTGACCTTCAAGGTTGAAATGTTCCCCAACGGGTTCATTGAGTTTTTTGGTCCTAATGGTAGAACGGTGATTATTGACCCTCCTGCGGAGATCTCCTGTTTCACCAGACTACACCCGATAGACCGGACGCAATTCATAGCGCTCCGGATTTCTTTGTTCACAACTGTTTATAAACTCCAAATTAAACATGTAACATTGTAAATATTTAGTGTTTGGTAGTTTAGTAGTAGTGCTAGTTGTTTTTGCTTCTCTATTTCCTTTGTTTTTATGACTTCTTAACTTTTTTCTTTGTCCTGAGGAAGGGACAGGCTGTCCCGAAAATTTGACAATTATTATTGTTCATGTCGTTGGTCATTTTTAGTGCTTTATTTAAATTTCCATCCGTGACCTTGTATCTACTTAGTAGATCCGACACTTAGGATATACAGTGTTGTTGGTTTTTAGTGCTTTTTATGTCCTTTTTTCGCCAACTGTATCTTCTCAGATCCACCCGTATATCCATTATTTCTCTATTCTAATTCTCTGTACCTATCATTCATTTTTGTTTATTTCTATCATCGTTTGATTTTCTGGTTATTTATTTGTATTCCACTCTTGCAATTTAGTTCTTTCCACTCTTCTCTTCAAAATTTTATTCATGTAGCATTTGTTTTTATTTTTTTGAATTCTTGTACGAGTTATCTCCTACGAATTAAGAAAATAGTGCAATCGTTCGTTGAATCTTCGACTTCACACGGCTACAGTTTAAAAATTAGTCATATTCTTTAGGCCATTACCTGTTTATTTCCTTTTAAACATGTCTATAAAAAGTAATCCAACATTCAAACTTCTGAAGAAACAACACCAAAAATCAATCAAAACTGAACACCGGGTCTCGAATTTACAGACCTACTTAGAGTGTGACATTATACCTAAAGGTTTCCAGATTAATGTCACGCCTAACATAGGGCCGATCTCCAAACGCTTTCAAGAACGTTGGGAAGATATTACAAAGAGGTGTTCTAAACAATTGATGTCACTCTGTCTTTCTTGGGATATCCACAAGTTAGGACAATTTGAGAGTGATATCACTTCCTTAGAATCATCCCTCAATGATAGCATGTCCCAAGCTGATCTTGATGAAGCCCATAAGATTATTGACACCTATAATATGGTCCTAACAAATGAACTCAACAAGACTCAAAGAAAGAAATTTCTCCGAGACAGTGTTCCACAGACCAGGAACAACCGATCAGAGGTCCGAGTTAACAAAACACGTAAGCCCCGCTCGAGACGCTTCAAGCGCTTAACGACAATCGCGAGGGATGGACCCTCACAAACTCCTGACGTCTGCCCAGTGCTCAATAGATCTAGTGTTCCTCTCTCCGAATCGGAGACCTCACTTCTTTCCAAGGGGCTGAATTTCTGTCCCACGCCACATGAGGTCGACGAAAAACAAGTCAGAGAGGACACCCGAGCTTCCTTTCGGAGACTTCGGTTGAAGGAGCATTTTTCTAGAAAAAACTTCGAAGTTGACTCATATGACTCTTCTCAGCCACAATTGCACGACCTAGAGGAACACAAACTCTATCGGCCAAAAAGTGACTGGGAACCTGCACCGGGCAAATGCGGAGCCCTTGAGTCGTATATTGACGCCGTTGAGTCAGACATAGAGAAACTCCTTTCAATGCCAGACAAGGCTCCCGACAATTTGAGTAAGGAAGAGAGATCCGCCTTACAATCATTAAAGAATCGGGATGACATTGTAATCAAGAAAGCAGACAAAGGCTGTACAGTAGTAGTGCATGATAAAGAGACGTACATGGCGGAGGCCCATAGACAACTCTCAGACGAACGTTTCTATAAGAAACTGGACTCTGACCCTACTAAAGAATTCTCCACCGCCATCACCAAAACTCTTGACGAAATGTTTGAGAAAAACGAGATTGGTATCAACGTCTATGAGACACTCAATCCTATTGACTGTAGACCAGGACAATTTTATCTGCTTCCTAAGATACACAAAGAAGGTATGCCAGGTCGCCCTATAGTTAGCGCTATTGGACACCCCACGGAGAAAATTTCTGAATACATCGATTTACATCTCCGTCCACACGTAGAGAATTTGCCATCCTATCTCAAGGACACCACGGACTACATTAACAAGACGCCCTCTACTGGCCTTCTAGATCATACCCTTCTCGTGACTATGGACGTCACATCTTTGTACACCAATATTCCGCACGATGAGGGTATCGAAGCCTGTAGAGAAGTCTGGGATCGTAGATCCATACAAATTCCTTCTACCGAGTCCCTTGCCAAGCTCCTTGAACATGTTCTCAAGTATAACAACTTCATGTTTAATGGAGAACATTACCTGCAGGTTAATGGCACTGCTATGGGTACGAAAATGGCACCATCTTATGCCAATATTTTCATGGGCAGACTGGAACGCAACTTGCTACTTCAAGCACCATTTAGGCCCCTTAGCTGGTTGCGTTTCATTGACGATATAGAGATGAAGTGGGTGGAATGTCGCGAGAGCCTCGAGGCATTCATTTCGTTTGCCAACACCTTTCATCAGTCTATCAAATTTACAGTAGACGTATCTAATTCGAAAAACATATTCCTAGATACTACATCTACCCTGACTGATGGTGAAATCGAGTTCAGTCTCCACACGAAACCCACAGATTCCCATCTGTATCTTATGCCAACTAGCTGTCATCCCCCACACACATTCAAGGGTGTGCCTATGGGTCTAGCCACCAGAATTCGGCGCATCTGTTCATCCTCTGCCTTATAT